CCTTCTGCTTTCTCCAGGTATTGCAGTGTCCACTATCCAGACTTTTTTGTCTTTCTTATCAACAATTGTTAAGTCTGGGTGTATTATATTATTATTATTATTTAAACTTGTATGCTGCCCAACTCCCAACAACTCTTGGTGGCTCACGGCAATAAAACAAAGAAATTACAATAAAACCAATAAAAGGTAATAGATTACAAGTGCAGCAGACTGGATGGAATGGAGCGAGGGGTCTCGCTCTTGCTCTCCCTCACCAAAGGCCTGGGAGAAGAGCCAAGCCTTTATGACTCTTCTCAACAATGGCAGAGTGGGGGCCATTCAGGATTCAGCTTTGCTGAAGTCAAGGTTATTATATCTGTAGCATTCCCCTTTTCCACTAAAGTACTTACTTTGACAAAGAAGAAAATTTCATTCCTGATATATAATGCTTCAGCGCTTCCTGTCTTATTTTGTGTTTTCCTCTTTAATAAGGTGTACAAGCCCAATGTTCCACTGATGGAACTCATCCAATGGTTCTTTAATCCCTATTGGGTGATATAATTGCCCTGGTGCCTTATGACATCTGGCTGACTCCTTTTTAACTTCTTCTGATGTGAAACATAGTTTGCAGACAAGCTTATTTAGTCCCAAACATGTGTCACTTCTTTCTGCTACATTTTGCACTAATGGAAGTTCTTCAAGAGCAGTTCCATGTAGACCATATTGCAGTAGTCATATCAGCATGTAACCAACATTTGGGTAACGGTTCTCAGATCCAACCAACCCAAGAAAGGTTCTACGTAGCGTACCACAGGTTGTTGTAGAAGTGCCCTCTCTGCCACTACTGCGACCTGGAGATCCAGAAATCCCTCACAAGAAAGTAACGCGTGCTGCTTCCCCATTTCTCCTGCAGGCTGTTAAAGGAGGCTTTGCTCGGCTCCAGAGCTGCATCGCAGAGCTTTGTGCCTTGCCGAGGGAAGGGGTGTTCCCGCCAAAGGAGGACGCTGTGGTTCAGGCAGTGCTGGATGGACTACAGCAGTTTAAACAGTACACTGGTCAAGGCATGGCAGGAGCCTCTCTGAGCAGCTCTTCTGTGGAGGTAGGAAGTGGACGTGGCAGCAAAGGCAGAGGGGCCACGCTCTTCTTAGGGTCCGGCACATCTGGAGAATGGCCAAAAGCAGAAAACCAGGCAGAATAGCCAAAGCATCTTTTCTCCTCTCACCATTACCAGGAGCCAGCATGGGGGTGTCACAAACAAATCCTGTCATCTCTCCTTTTTGACAGTGATTTGTCTTCCTCACAACTTTCACCTTCAAAGAGTGGAGGAAGGCAAATGCGGACCGGTGGTCCTTGAGTTGATACTAATCATAGAAAGTCTTAGCTGACAAAGAGGAAGTAGCAGGACATTGGGGAAAGACCACACAATGCTGCAGTTTTTGATTTGAAGGGAAACTGAAATTGAGCAGGCAGTAAGCAGAAGATGAGAGAACCTAATGGCAGTGGTGGGAGGAGGGCGAGAATCCAGTGCTTTTCACCTTATGCGCCAAGCTTAGGAAAGAGATTTGGATGGCACCCTGCTCAGCAATACACAGAAAGCCAGTTAAAGCTGAGCTTTGCCACAGAGTTTTTAATTTATATTAAGTATTTGTGATTTTTAGAACACTAGGGGATTTGGAAATTTATATAGATTTGAATTGTTTTAATGGTTTGGTGTCAGTTTTGTAAACCATTGGGAAGCCTTGTAGAGTTGGCAGCATATAAATGGTGTAAATAAAACTGAAGGATCTCAAGGTGAGTGAGAGTTTAAAATAAAAAGGGGATACTAAAAACATCATTTCAAAGAATTCCTATGCTCCCTCCTATTTTATTTCTTTATTTCAATTTATTTATAGGCCACCCAAGTCCAAACAACTCTGGATAGCATTTTTTCCTTGGGAAGTAGACTAGCTTAACCAAAAGCAACTTTGCACCAAGGAGATTCTGTGAGGTTTCTGACTAAATAAGGGCTTGAACCAATCTCCCTTGGACAACCCACCTCTTTCTGCATTGCATCTGACTGGCATTGTAGCTGCCCACTGGGTGTGGCGAGGGTTGAGAAGCAGCCACCATGCCGGGCTTGTGCTTGGAGCTGGAGTGTACTATCAGGGATTGGGAAGGATATGCTCCCTCTCAGTTGCCACAGTTTGACTTTTCTTCCAGATTACAGTCCTGACTAGCCAGCCCAGCAGACAAGTGGCCAACCAGCTGGATGCTGGCTTGCAGGGTATTGACTTGGTTAGCCTCCACCAACTGCAGGTGGTTGAGATTTCCCAGAGGGAAGTCCAGGAACTCTCCGGTGCCGAGTGGGGCAGAGAAGGACCCAGCAGCAGTGGTGGTGAGTACAGCAGCCTGATGTTTGTGCCTGGATGTTGGAAAACCTGACACAATTGCACCGAATGCTGAGAAGTGCATTCGGTCTGCAAACCCCCACCAAAAATGGAATCTGAGCCCTAGAACACGCGACTGTGGGCCTTGCCCCACTGATTGCCTGAAGGGTTCTCCATCTATCCTTGAACTCTCAGAAAAGCATGCTGGCATCAAAGCGGCTGCCCCTATTGCCAGAGCATGTGGGTCAGGTGCAGGTGGGGAAGGCTCCTGTGACCCTGAGCCTGTTTTTTGGATTTTTTTACTTCTTCCCCCTTTCTTTCGTTTTGTAACATCCTGTTGATGAAGAACTGGAAACTTGGCACAATCTTTTGTGCATTTTAGCTGTTCCTAATAAAAGTACTTGCTCAACTGTTGATTTTGGAATTGATTCAGAGGAAGTTTTTCTCATTTTTAAGAGTGAATCTAAAAATGGGCTAAGGTGCTGATGGTTGCCACCTACTGGATAAAGACAAAATCTTCTTTTGTTCCATCTTACAGTATCTCCCTTTGTAAAACTGTCCTAGACTCCCTAGTAGAGTGGATCTCTTTGGCCATTTCTCCAGCTGCACCTCATCACAGCTCAACTTGCCATGAAGCTTCTTTTTATCCTATTTAGTTCTTATTTGATCTATAAGCCATCACAATTCCACCACAACTCTGGGTGATTTACAAAATAAGACAATATAAAGCAATAACATACATAGCCTGAAAGAAAGCATCTGGAAAAAATGAGAGCATCTAATTTTTAGATTAATTAATTTAATTAGAGAGCATCTAATTAATGAGGAAATGATAAACCCCACTCTCTTCAAGGTTTGGTCCATGGACTTTCGTTGCAGTTTGCTCCAAGTTCTGCCTGGAGTTTAGGAAAAAAACAAAGTCATTTTAAAAGGAGATGCTGAGGTGATCTGACTCAGTACAGGTAGTCCTTGCTTAATGACTGCCCTGTTTAACGAACATTTAAAGTTACGACGGTGCTGAAGAAGTAACTTTATGTCTGGTCCTCAACTTATGACTGTCGCGGCATCCCACGGTCACATGATCACCAGTGAAGCAGAGTCAATGGAGAACCCAGCAGTAAAATCACAAGTCATGGTCACATGATGTCTTGCTTTAACAACCATGTCATTTAGTGACAGAGTTGCTAGTCCTAATTGTAGTCGTTAAGCAAAGATGACCTGTATGTGACTAAGGGCTGCATCTCAATCAAGAGAATATGGATTAGGAATGTATGCTTTCTTTACAAGGGGATTAGTATTCTTCATGGGTTCTGCCAACTGGCAAAGGAACCACACTCACAAAGTCTGCAGTTGGAGCTTTTCCTGATGGAAAATAGCCCATTTTATTTTCCTTACAATCCAGTGGTTCTGAGTTCAATTTCCTTGAGACAAATTTATCAGTGGTAGTTGAAGTGGAGGGAACTGATAATTCGGAAGGAATGCAGACATTTTCTCAGCAGTAAACTGAACTTCCACAGCTCCTTAATTTGGAATGCTTGAGGAGCTGATTGAAACAGGCAGGGATAAGGAGAGCCACACAGTTTTCCAGGTATTCTCCCTCCTTTTTTCCTTCATTTAAAAGACAGAAGCAATTTTAGCACTTTTATCAAAATAGTCAAGTGGTTTCACTTTCTCACCTTAAAGCTTCACTAATTGTTTTGCAGTCTTCTGAATGCAGTTCCCCTCCCAAATGATAACCTGGCACAACCTCATGCCAAAGTACAAAATGAGCAATTTTTTTCTGTTCTAACTTTTAGTCCCCATTCTCTCTACTTTTAGAAAGGATAAGGAAGTTCTATTTAAGCTCATCTTCCCTTGCAGAGAGCGCCACAATCTTGAACACAGAGATTGACCTACACACTGTGGAGAATGATGTGGTGGCCTTAGAGGATTTTTTCAAAGCCTGGCTGCACAACCACGCTCCTGATCAAGAGCACCTTCATCTCCTCCTGCCCGCTGGGACCATCAGCTCCTCTGCTGCACCTAGCACCGATCCAGGTAATTTGCCCTTACTTTCATGTGCCATCACTGGCATCCGTGGCAATCTTGGCGAGCAGCTGAAGGCAGTACCACGCATTGAACGCTGGCTTTTTACCCAGGGGCTGGAGTAGAGTGGTGGAGTCTGAGGATGGTGGTTGGGGCGCCTGGGAGATGGATTGAGGTGCCAGGTTTTTAGTTTTTGATGTATGTTTTTTATGGTTTTGGTAGCTTTATGGTTGTGAGCCACCCAGAGTTGCTTCAAGATGCGTGGCCCTACAAATCTTTTAAATAAATAAATTTGTCTGTCTGTTTGTTTATTTCAAGCTTCCTTCCATGTTTTCAGCTATGGTATGACTGTATCTTGTCCCAAACAGGTTTAGGGAATTTCTGCTCCATTTTGGTGAGGGTTTCTTAGCTTGCTGTTCAAACCCTGCTGGAAATCCGGCTCCCTCCACCTCCTCAGGCACACAGACCTGCTGCAAGGCCTTTTGCTGCTGGAAGTCGGGTGCTCCGGTCACTGGGGGCCATCAGATGCGCAGCTCTGTGAGAAGCGCAATGGGTGTCTGATCCGGAGGGGGGAGCAGGTAGAGTTCAAGAAAGGAGCAGGCTGAGGACGAGCACCTGGCAGCCGGCCAGCCAGTGGCCAAGCTCAGCCGTTGCTCTGTCCTTCTTGGGCTGACCTCTTTTACGCAAAGCCTTCTTAGAACTGGGCGGGTTGGTGCAGTTTTCTTGGCAAACAAATGTAATAAGCCGAACAGCAAAGCATATAAGAGACCAGCAAGAAAAGGTGGGTGCTGTCCAGGATAATGAACCCATGCGGTGCTTTCTTGCTAGCCAGAGACTGAATATTGTGCACCAGGTGCTCCTGGCTCTCAGGATGTTTTTCTGTACAGCATTTGTCAGAGAGAAGCTAAGAAGACATGGCGAAAGAACCTTTAGGGACATAGGAGTATCCCAGGAAGGAAGGTCTCCCTTGCAGAAGCCCGCGTCATGCTGCGCAATCTCTCTGGGAGAGAGTCAGAGTTTGGAGCAGTCCAAACCGGCAGTTCTGCCTCTCCCTTCCCTGCGCCCGCAGTGGGCCCCCCCCCCACTGCCCCCCCTGCACTGGGTAGGTCTGCATTCACAGCAGCACCACCAACCGCTTAAGACGATCACTTGAGGCACCTTGTCTGTGCCTCGGTCGTGTAGGAAGGCCTTTAGGCACGTAGTAGATCACAAGTCATGAAAGCAAATTCTAGCCAATAATGTAGGCTTCCCCCTAGATGTCCTTTTAAGGCCCTGTCCCTACTTGCACCCACAATGCCTCTTGGCCCCCATTTTTGTTCTCTTCTCAACCTTAAACAGATAAGAGAAACCCTACAGTTTCTCTGGCATAAACTTTTTTTTTAGATTTTTTATCCCGCTTTTATTATTTTTATAAATAACTCAAGGTGGTGAGCATACCTAACACTGCTTCCTCTTCCTGTTTTCCCCACAACAACAATCCTGTGAGGTGGGTTGGGCAGAGAGAGTGACTGGCTCAAAGTCGCCCAGCTGGCTTATTAAACTTGTTAAATAAATCAATAACAAACTTGCTGGTAGTAATAGCAGCACTCCGGATGGTAGTATTTTACGCCTTAAGCCAACCCTATCCCACCACAGCCCCCAGTTGTGTAACATCTGTAGCGTTCTGCCCCACGCTATCATGGAGGTGAAGTTAAGGTTACCCACTTTGGAATGGTCAGAGGTGAGTTGGGGGAGTGCTGGGCAGTGTGGGCACACGCCCCTCCCTCTCTCTGGTCCATGGCCAGCCTCCCTCGCAGCCATTTCTCTCCCCATTGGCACCTCCTTTCCCGAGTCCCTCTCAAACCCGTCACCTCTCCTTCCCACCTGCCCCACTGGGACATCTGCTTCTCTTCGCTACCGTATTTGGAGAAGAGGAGGAGGTTGTCTTTTTGCACTGATCCACTGTGATGATATTCTGAAATGTATTAGTTAAATTTGGATGCACCTTCACCGAGATGGAAAGAACAGGAATCAGCCTCCTAATCTAAGTTGGCCCTAGATCTCAAATTCATGTTTTGCTAACCATGTTCCAGCCCTCAGGTGGGGAGAGCAGGTCTCTTCCTTCTTTTTTTCCCCCTTTTCTAGCCATACCAGGCTATTACATTTTACAAAACACAGTGAGACCACACTCACTACAACTACATCTCAGGAAAGGTGCAAAGAATGCAAGTCTTCTTTATCCAGTTGCACGTGTTTTCTTTTTTATTCATTTTCTTTCTTTTAATTAGGTAAACTGCCCAGTGTCACTTGGGAATCAGGCAGCCTTCTAAATTTAATTCATAAATTCATAAATAAAAATGATCCTCTCTCTGAAGTAGGGTCATCCTGCAAAGCCATACAATGGGAAAGCAAAGACAGATAAAAGGAAGGACTTCCTCACTTCTTTGGAATTTGCTCAGACCGCCAATTTGGGCAGTTTTAAAAGGGGCTTGGGCCATCTAAAGAGAACAGGCACCCGTCGCAGGGGAGCAAGGTCAAGAGAGTGCTGTCAGATTCGCAGATGACTCCTAGAGCCATCTGGTTAACCCCTGTGGGAAAGGGGGCTGGGCCAGGTGGGACTCTGGGTGGTGCATTCTCAGGCCAGACATCCCCTCAGCTTCACTAGGCTGGTGCTGCCTGTGCCCACGGCCAGTAGCAGCTCCCGCGTTCTTCCACGGCAGCTTCTGCTGGCAGCAGGGCCTGAACTTAGGACCTCTTGTGGCCCAACAGGGCTCTGCCACCATGCTGAGTCCCTCCCCCAGGCTCCCTTTACAGGGAGGGGATGCTGGGTAAAAGCTCTGGAAGCAGACGGTGGCCTTCTGCCACCCACGCTTGTACTGCAGCGATGCGCGAAGCCTCGTGCAGCACCTCTGCAGACACAGCCCTTACCTCTGCTCTCCCGCCTCTGCAGCATGGGTGAAGTGTGATGTCCGGGAGAGATTTCTCAGTCCTGCCCAGCTTCCTGCAGCTTGCGATGGTGGAACAGCAAGAATGGACAATGCCGCCAGTCCGTTCTGGATGGTGTCTGGCCTGGCCCCACGCAGACTGAGAGTCCTCAGGTATCTGGCTGGGTGAGGGTTGTTGTGGCTGCACAAACCTAGGTTCATCACATCCTGCTGCCTAACGGTGTTTTAGAGTGTGCCTGCAGGACGTCTCTTCCAGCTCGTCCGTGGCCCTGCACAGAGACAGCCTAGAGTCATCTTTCACTGCTCTGCCATTAAGGTGGGGTTTTCCTCTTCACTCAACATAAATCTTGCCATACAAACACCCTGCCTTGTTTTGGTAATACTGCTGGTGATGGCAGAGTTCCAGCTAGGAATTGCCCGTCCACATTGGCTCAAATCTGATGCAGGCACATTTCGGTCCTGCCCAGTTCCTGGGCACTGCCTTTCATTGCCATTTTGGCTTTCACTGTGACAGAGACCGGATACCTAGGCTGTGCATCCAGTTCTCGGGGGGGGGGGGGATTGGTCATCGGACTATCAATTTCACGGAAGACCGAATGCAGTCTTTCAGGAAATTATTATTCTTACGTCCCAAAATTAAAATCCTGAAAGTATTCAGGGTCCTAATGATCTTCTTATGGATGGCTAGACCTGTCAGTTTCGTGATTCCAGCTTATCCAAGAATCAGCATCCTTGGTGCTACGCTGCCCTCCCAAAGGGCTCTTCCTCGTGGCTGTGCATTCCTCCAGTCCCTGGGTCAGCAGAAAAACCACGCTGCCGTGATTTACCTTGCCCAGACAGCTGAACTCCGATCTGCCTCAGTAACCAGGCAGTCCGTACAGCTTTACTGTGCGACAGTGTAAGAGCAGCCTGTGGTGGATTCCCCTGGCATTACACCCCTTCTCCCCAGTGTCAGCTGCTGAAGGAAAACCCATCACCAGTCACTCTCCTCAAAGAGTAGCAGGGCAGGCCTGGAGAGGTTCCTGGGGAAGAGGAGATGCCCCACAGGTGACCCATGTCAAAAATGGCCCAACTGATAGGCCAGTTGCATGAAATTTGGCTGAGATGAGGGAGGTCTCTCCACACACCATACGAGCTCCCACCCTTCACCCCACTGAATCGCGTCTTCCAGAAAACTAGTAGGTGGGTTTAGCAGCCTTCCCGGAACTTTGGCCAGAAGGGGAAAGTGGCAGAACTCTTGTCAATTCCACACCAGCCCCCAAATATGCCAAATGACTGTGCTGGGAAGTATTCCATGGGGTACCCAGAATGCCGTCTGCAAAGGCAAAGGGGCACCGCCTCCCCCCCACCAGAAGCACGGCCACACAGAACCCTCATGGCAGAGGCAGCAGCGCTCATCTTCTGTTTCAAAGAACCAGCAGCCCTTCTTTTTCACGGATGAGCCAACTGGTGTTTTGAAAGACCACTGAATGTGTGTGGATAACAGGTCTAAGGCTGGTACACCTGGGTGTGCAAGGAGCCCACTCCACAGGCAGAACAGGCCACTTAGGGAGCTTCCCCCAAATTCAAGGTCTGTAATATTTATTGAAGAAATTAGGAAGCCCAGTTTCACCAATTGCGGCCCTGCATTGGCCTGGGAAAGGGCAGCCGTGCCGCCCAGCCTCGCTGCTGAGGTGCAGTCAAGCTCAGCCGACGGAGTGGCACAAGATGTGGCACGATGTGCTTTTCTGTTAACCCCAAGACCAAGGGAAGCATCTTAAGGGGCTGTCTGGAAGGTGGCACTCGGGAGGAGGCTTCTTCCGCTGGCTAGACTGGAAGCAGTTAAACAGACGTGAAAGAATCCGGGAACTTCTGGTTTTATTATAGAAAAGCGAAGAGGCTCTTTTGAAAAGCTTGCAGCAACTGCGGCTCTCATTTTGCCAAAATCAGCATTGCAATTCTCGCATCTCTTCCTCTTCCCCAAGCTGGATGGTCCTTGCTTTGGGGCACAGCTGGTTTCCATCCACCTCCTTAGTAGCAGACAAATCTGGTTGGTTTCCTCTGACCACATGAGAAGTGTTTCTCTTGGGGGGGGCAGTTCAATCTAGCAGGGAGCCACATCTGTGTGGTCAGAGATGTTCTTTCCAAGGGTGGGGGCGGGGGGGCTGCCACAGCCGATGCCTCCTCCAGGCCTGGTCAAGACAAGGACCCATGGCAGCCTTTACTTTACAGCTCAGCCGCCGCCTCTCGTGGGGCCCTGAGGATTTGGTCTGGGGGGGCTGCCTGCCCTCCACTCCCCAGCACCTGTACAAGGCATGTACCATTACAGCATTTTAGGCTGCACAGCTTTTGAGCCTCCTGTTCTTTCTTGTGGGGTCCATCGGCCCACCCATTCATTCCCCTTTGGGTCGTTCAGTTAGCCAGTCCTAGAAGAGCAGAAAGCCCACCATCACCGTGGGCTGCTGTGGAGAGCTGCTCCCTCCCAGCTGAAAGCAGCTTTCATCCTAAACAAGAAAAGGGGAGCAGAGAAGAAAGCTCTGTGGATAAACCTCCTCCTGCTTCCCCCAACCCACCCTAAACGTAGCCAGCCATGTTTGCAAGGCAGGGAACACCCCCTTGCCCCCCCCAACCTTCAGGGGAGGAAGCACCATCACCGTGGGAGTAAGCCTGCCATGTTCTGGTAACTGCACCAGTTCCTGCCCCTTCCTCCAGGTTCATCCCCCACCGAGGCAGGCCCTGGAGGGTCTGCAGAGCTGTGGACAGACAGGGCCTGCTTTCCCCTTTCCCCTCAGAGGCTCTTTCCACCGATCTGCAGGAAGTCCCTCTGTCCCAGCAATTGCCTTGCAGAGATTTTCTTTTGCATCTTCCCCAGATCTCCAGCCACTAATCTGCTGGGTGCCATCTTGTGAGCGAAATGGTTCACAAGAACAGCAGCAGTGTTGAACTGCTCCAGTGAGCCCTCTCGGCCAGCCGCCTGCTCCGCAGATGACAAACTTTGCTATTGCAGGGCACTGAAGGCTGATGGGGTATGTGCGTCAGTGCTTTCCGGTCTCCCACTGGTCATCAGGCCCACGAGCTGCTGGCATCTGAGCTGGGATGAACTGGAGGCCAACCAGCAGAGTTTCCAGGCACTCTGCCATTGCCTACGGGTGAGTCCTAAGCAAGAGGGTATGCAACAGGCAGGGGCAGAAAGGCTGCCGTGCTGCCTCTTGGTGGTGCTCACAGCTGCGCCCACAGCTGGCTAGGCAAGGTGCAGAAAGAGGCGCAGCAGAAGCCACCCAGCCTCTTGGGCAGAGGGGAGATCTTCCCAGAGCCTGTAGGTACTCCGGCAGGCCAGCGGCACCGCTGGCCACGTGGCAATGGCGCCTCGTGCCCATTAGGCAGGAGCACCGCTCTTCTTTGGCCTGTGATCAGCAGACAGCCCCCAGCAAGGGAAGACGCACACACCATGCACAGGACGCTGGTTGTCTTTCAGAAGCGGGAATGGCTGCTGCTGGCCAAGTACGAGAGCCAGGGTGGGCCAGATCTCAGCAGAGGCCTCTCGGCCAGCACCTTCCAAGTCCTGCTTCCCTCGGACTCCTCCACGCTGCTGCTGCACCCAGTGGTGGCCCGAGAGCTGCTTCTGCCTTGCAGCTTTCCTCTCCTCCCTGCTGACCCCCCAGAAGCAGCGCTTGCTAAAATGGAGGTAAATGCTGCCAGGGGAAGGGGCACCCCCCCTGCTGCTCCCCGGTAAAGTGTCTTTCCTTGTGGGACCTGCCTAGCTTCTTCCCCTTTAGGGCATCCTCAGCAGCTTGGAGCTGGAGGCAAGCTACGATCCCCTGCAGGCGACCAGTCATCTGTACCAG